TTTGTCCCAGTTGGTAGGTTGTCTTTTCATTTTGTTGACAGTTTCCTTTGTTGCACAGAAACATTTTAGTCTGATGTAGTCCCACTTGCTTATTTTTTCTTTTGCTTCCCTTGCCTAAGAGACAATGACAGACATTATATAATGATAAAAGGGATATTCCACCAAGAAGACATAACACATTAATATATATGCACCTAACACAGGAACAACAAAGTATATAAAGCAACTATTAAGGGACTTAAAGGAAGAAATTGACAGCAACACAATAATTGTAGGGGACTTCAACACCCCACTCACATCAATAGATTGATCTTCCAGACAGAAAGTCAACAAGGAAACAGTGGCCTTAAATGAAACATCAGTACAGATGGACTTAATAGACATATATAGAAGATTTCATTCCAAAACAGCAGAATACCCATTCTTCTCAAGTTCACATGGAACTTTCTCAAAGATAGATGTATGTTGGGAAACAAAGCAAGCCTCAATAAGTGTAAGAAGATTGAAATCATATCAAGCATTTTTCTGATGACAATGGTATGAAACTAGAAATCAACTACAAGAAAAACGTTGGAAAAGTCACAAATATTTGGACACTAAACAATATACTACTGAACAACTATTGGATCAATGAATAAATCAAAGGAGAAATCAAAATATACCTAGAGACAACGAAAATGAAAAACAACATATGAAAACTTATGGGATGCAGCAAAAGTAGTACTAAGAGTGAAATTTATAGCAATACAAGCCTACCTCAAGGAACGAGAAAAATCCCAAATAAACAATTTAACACTGTACCTAAAAGAACAAGAAAAAGAAGAACAAACAAAGCCCAAAGTCAGTAGAAGGACAGAAATAACAAAAATCAGAGCAGAAATAGATGAAAGAGAGACTAGAAAAAGAATAGAAACATTCAATGAAACTAAGAGCTGTTTCTTTGAGAAGATAAGTCTCTTTATTTAGAGGTACAGATGGCATATGGGCAGAGATTATAAGATCAGAAAATCCAGACACTCAACCAGAGGACTCCCTGAACTTTCAGCATCTTTTAAGCAACTTTAACATCTTTAATACATTTGAATATGATGTCCCTTTAACATCTGTTTGAATACGTGTGGCAAAGTCAAAGGACAGGCTGTACTAGGCACCACAGGATGATAATAGCTTCCCTGCCTTCAACAACAAAAGGTCCAGGAAACTGACTTATCTTGGGTCCAAGTTGGGAACTGTTTGGGCGAAATATAGTGAAAAAGTAAATAAACCAGCCAAGAATAAAAGAATTGGACAGGGATCTGCTGGCAAAGAAAACTTTTCCCAGCTACAGACCAATAGAATCTGAACAGAATGAGAAGGCTCATAACTACACTTGGCTCCAGGAAGTGAAGTGGAAATCTCACAAAGGAGGCCACTTTGAGGCCTATAAACACCTTGCAAAACTACTCATTAGGATTTCAGAACAACAACATGTTTAGGATGTGTGTGTTCAATATATGCATGTCCTGGGTTTTCCTCATGGTATTTTCCTTACTTATATGTATATTTCCCTAAACCTTTGATAATTATAAAGTAAAGTGAAGAGAATAACAGTGTGGCAGCGGTAAAGACGAAATTAAAAGCAAAAAACATACTGTAGTCATCGTGTTGAGACTATAAAGTAAACTGAATTAACTGATGGACAGGAATTGTTCTTTCTGTACATTTTTTAACAAATTAACTTAAGAAATTCGTAAAATGTTCTTCAGCATTGACAGTAATATACAATGGATAGATCAGTTAGTTCAAGCTTTACCTTCAGGGACAGTCATTGATCCTAATTGAGAATTCAGATTCCAGGGGTCAGCTACTCTTATATCAGAAAGTGTCACATTTCAGACCTGGCTGTGCGTTTCAGCTATTCACTTCTCTTTAAGCTAGTCATATCTTGATAAACACCAGAGGCTTTGCTACTTAGCTTACTGAACATCAGAAATAGCTTTTCATTGGTGAAATGAGTGGTCCATTTAATTAACATGAATTTAGAAATGAGCTCTCATTGGTGAAACTGCAAGGATTCCATATATGTGGATTGGCCAAAACATCAGAGAATATCCTTATACTTAGAAGAAGAAGGTAAGACTCAGGCAAGAGAGGATGTCAGGCGTGATGTCCTGACAGTGCTGCACCAGCTGCTGGTTTAGGAAAATGTCTCCATGCCTGTTGCCAACCATTAGGCACAAGATCCTTCCTCCTTCATATCTGTATCATGTGAACCTTTCATAGAAGGTGTAGCCAGGCCTTTATCCGGGTAGCAAGCTGCACATCCCCTGATGAAGGGACTCTTGCCTAGAGAGCTTCATCATCCTAATACAATGCCACTGAGTCTTGGACTTCACTGGCTCCATATAAAACAGGCAGCACCAATAGCCAAAGGGATAAATGGTTTCACTTAGGATTCCATGTTCAACCCAATACAATGTATGTTATAAGAACTCTATATAACCCCATATAAACTATATATATATGGAAAGTTCAGTTGGTCCTCCAGGCTTTCAGCCACACCCCAGGACTCTCACACATTACAGTGTTGTGATGTAATCTCAAAACCTCTGCTTCACTGTGTGGCTCCAGTAGCAGAAAATAAGGAATACACAATATCTTTCATGGTTTTTTAGTGTCTATAGATGCCATCTCTTCAACCAGACTATCACTTAAATTTTTCTACATGTCTCTCGTCCACCCCCAAAATTCGTCTCTCCCTGTTTCCTGAGTCAAGCTCCACTCCACTAGAAGGCCCTCCCTGGTCCTCCATTCACAGAGTCTCATCAATCACTAAAGTCTGGTTGAAGCCTCAGCTCACGTGGACCACTTCGGAATCAGCACACAGACACGGCACATCTGCACCCTTTGTTTTCACAATAACGTTGTGCTGTCTGGAAGGGTGGCGGCTTAACACTTTCCTGAGTGTATCTCATCTTCTCTCAAATGCACCGAAAGCCTCTTCAGCACGAGAAGTGTGCACACTTGTCCTGTCAATAACCTCACTCTTGACAATGTCATGATGACTGCATAACAGCCAATTAATGTCTATGGAATGAACACGCTTGTCAGGTAGAAAAGTAAAGGAGATGGCTTGTGAATATGAGCAGCAGCTGTAGCTGGTAATCTCATTTTCCTCATTTGCTTAAGGTACCAAATGTACTGACAAACTTTGTGGGTTTCATTTGAAAAACCAAGGTAGCAAGTTATCGGTTATATCAAAACATAATGGCAATTACAGAATGTAAAGAAAAATACTGAGTAGACAAAACTCATAGGATATCATCAGTACTGGAGCCCAGACAGATCTCCTAACTTTACAAGGCTTCAGCGTTCTCATCAGGAAATCAGGAATGATGCCCGCCCTGACCCTGTACATAAGGCTGGCATGAGGCAGGAGCAAACACTTTGCAGAAAGAACTACGAAAATGACAGCTGTTATTCAGAAGTAGCACACCAGGAGTACCAATTGTTTTGATTTTTTTAAATCTACGTTTAGGGCTGGCCCCGTGGCTTAGCAGTTAAGTGCACTTGCTCCGCTACTGGCGGCCTGGGTTTGGATCCCGGATGCGCACCAAGGCACCGCTTCTGTGGCCATGCTGAGGCCGCATCCCACATAAAGCAACTAGAAGGATGTGCAACTATGACATACAACTATCTACTGGGGCTTTGGGGGAAAAAAAGGAGGATTGGCAACAGATGTTAGCTTAGAGCCGGTCTTCCTCAGCAAAAAGAGGAGGATTCGCATGGATGTTAGCTCAGGACTGATCTTCCTCACACACACAAAAAAATCTATGTTTAGTTAGAATAATCACACATCATTTCCTGTGTTTAAAAAATCCTCTTCAGAGGAATTTGAAGTCATCACCATATGCCCACATCAAGATTTCTCCAGAACCAGTGCTGGATCTTTGCTTTATTGTGAGAAGCTAGTTGAGCAAACTTGAGTCTCCAGAGCTTTCTTGGCATTTGTGCTGATTGTCGGTAAGTTTTGCATTCAATTAATAACTTTGCTGTGGCATTTCCTTGACCATCGAGGCATGTCTCTTTCTCTGCTGTATTTCTGTTTAGCATTTCAGAAATGTAGTTATTTTCCAAGTAGGGTTATAAGCTCCTTGCCAACAGGCACCATATCCTATAACCCCTGTTTTCCCCAGGATATTACACATTCTGTATACATAACAGACACGCAATGAGTACCAAGGAACTGATAAACAAATGGCAAGCAATAGAATATATTGGAGCGCATGAGGATGCCATATGCAGTAAAACTAATTTGGCCAGAGTTTGTTTTTCCAAAAGGGCCTGTCGCCTGCATTGTGTATCTGCTTTCCTATGTCCCAAAGAGAAGAGGATATGCCCTTAAGATAAGGATGCAACTTCCCCCCTATTAGCATTTCCTTAAGGATGAGTATTTCTCCCTAGGCTAGGATTTGGTTGTTGCAGTCATCCTGTGACCACCCAGTTTGAGACAACAGACCTGACACCAGCCAAGCCCATCGAGACAGAAGACCTGCTCCCCGCTGTATCCATCAACAGCTATTCCGGCAGGACAATCTGACAGGGCGATCTTGTCGCTATTGTAAAAGGGACATTACAATCCTATGTGATACATGCTCTTTGACAGCATATAACCGCTCTGTACACCCCACTTCTTTGGTGCCATTCCTTTCTTAGGGAAGGAAGGCCCTGGGCCATGGTCCTCAAAAGGCGGCTCATAATAAACTCACTCAAATTTTGATTTATAGATTGATTATGGATTATTTATGTAGACATTTCTTGGTGTAGTCATGGCAGTATTTCAGAGGAACACACCAGAGACCACCTGGAATCTACACTGAACTGGCATTGGGTACCAATAGGGTCCCATTGTGCCTCCCAGATGACTGCATTCTTCAGGTGACCCTGATGAGTTCTCCTGAAATCCTCCTAATTTTAAGTCAACGGTCCAGAGTTTATTTGAGCTGTTCTCAAGGCTTAAGACTAGGTGTCTTAAGGGGGTGCCAGTACATACCGTAGGTCATAGGTACCTAGGGAGGAATTCCTAGGAAAGAGAAACCTAGGAGGAATTTCCAAGACCATGGGAGCCTAGGGGGCAATTTGGAGTGAATGGGGCAGGCTGACCATTTTAATTTGGCTTAAAATTCGAAAGAATTGTGTTTGTAAGGTCTGAATAAAACTGCTTGATAGAGAAATGAGAAACTGAATCTGTTCAGCTCTGAAAAAAAGAGACATTGCTCCTCCCGGCCTTTCGGGCATTCTCAGGCGACTCAGAATCTCAGCTGGAGTGTCAGAGGTGAGCCTCACAACGTGAGGGAGTTCCACTATCATTCACGTTAATTAATCACAGGTTCATCTGGGGGACACGCACGAGATGGTTGGTCACCCATGCTCCAAACCCCCACGGTGGTACCTAGACTGCAGGCGGGAGAAACCAAGGCATGTAAGAGAGTGATTACGACCTTTCTTTAGGGAGTACCACTCACAAGCAGTACACTTCTGACTCACTACACCATCCCTAGAAATTGTTCAGACATTATAGCAAATTAAAACGAAAAGAAAAGTGGGAAATCGAGCTTGTTCGACCAGTTCCTGGCTGGGAGGCCTGACCTCTGAACCCACAAGACTTGCACAAGTGCTAAGACAACAGGGGGCCTAAGACTGAAAAACAAAATGGGAAAGAAGCTTTTTGCAGGCGGAAATTGCTAAATTTTCTAAAACAGCAGCTATAAAATCTTTGTTGCACCTGTCTGTTCTTTATGTGTGTGTCTACATGTATGTTATATGTGTGTGGTATTTTATGTCTGGATAGTATGGTCAAAATTAAGAGCTCTATTCAGTTAACTTGAAATAAGCGCTTACAAAAGTTATTTCTAAATCCAAAGGTTTTTCCAGTTAACGTAATATGAAATAATCTTTGGTAAATAAAAGCTTATTTAAGCTTGTTAGTTTTCAGCATTGGATATAACACAGACATACAGCCTTTATTCGTTAGATAAACTGATGTTATTTGTATTATGTGGGAGATCAAGATTTGGCTGCCCTGAAATATATCTCTTTACCTTGATTGTTTTCTCTGAAGGACATTTGACCTCCCCCACTAACTGCCTAAAGAATTTGACATGGTGGCTCCTTCCTGGAACAGATCTTCTATCATGATGGCTATAAAGATAATGTAGGATAGAGGTTACAATAACAAAGGCACCAAGCCTCTTTTATCAAAAACTCTGTCTCTCCCTGACCACATTATCTATAGATGACCCTGAAAAGAATTGTCCTCCTGCCCTCTGAAGTCCCAGGCCACTACCCACCCCCAGCACGCTCCTCGCCTTTAGCTGCAATACTTAAGCAAGCAGCTTACACAGAGGAACGAGTTGCTCATTTCTGAGTTTCTCCCATGTATACATGTTATTAAACTTGGTATTATTTTCTCCTGCTAACCTGTCTTGTTAATTATTTGGCCAGCCATAAGAACCTTAAGGAAAATGGCAGAGGGAGATTCTCCCTCTTCCCCTGACAATTACAAAACTGGTTAACAAAAATAATAATTTAAATGATGGCTAATTTTGTATAATGTCTTATAAATTCTTGTAGGCAATCTAAATAATTATTGGGAAAAAGTAACTAAATAGATGTGAAAAAGATGAGCATTAAGTGAACTTTTAAAAATAATTATGTCTTATGATGTATATAGCTTCCAAATTCTTTTGGTGACTTAAAACTTTAGAGTTTTGCTGAATTAAGTGATAAAAATTCATTGAGTATCTAGATCATTTCCAAATGAGAGATTAGACATTGATTGCTAAATCTAGCTTTATCTACTTTTGGCTTATTACCAGAAAACTAAAAGGTGTTTTGAGTCTATTGATAAATATGTCTTGTGTTCTATTAAAAGATTGTACTATAAAGTAACATGTTTCCAGAAATTATGAAGTGTTTATAAATTTCCCAAGCCACAGAATGCCTATGTAAAAGAAAGTTTGTAATTGCTTACCTAGCTTTTACTTAGAAATTAATGTTCTAAGGGTTAAAAATTTCTAGTATGTGATCAAGCTACTAAAAATTAAGAAAAATATGTTTGTATTCAAGGAGAGTAAGATGTATGTTTTCATAAAGAATATATGAAAAATGGAAATATTTTGTTTGGTTGGGTAAGAAAGATAAATTTGTCCCACAGTGTCAGAAGGGAAAAAAGGAGGGCCTGGGACAAATTCTGAACGTAAACAGAAAGTTATAGAAGGTTTGTTGAAGAGAAACCTTGAGGAGTTTTATACTTGGTCAAGTTGGCTAAGATTAAAATAAATTTAATTAAGGGAAGGAGTTTTAATATCAAAAGTAAGCTGGTACAAAATTCAAATTTGGTCTTCTTTCTTTTAAAGGATAATTTTATTGTACTCTTAATCTGCTCTTGATAGAGGTTATTATGTAAAAAGGTTTTTCTTTACCTTTGAGTAAGTTTATCTAAAGGACAGAGATCTGTTTTGTTAAGGTAATTTCATATGTTCAAAAGACTGAGGTCTCTCTATTAAGGTCTTTTTGACTATTTAAATGCTGTTTGTTAACTAAAGCATTGTTTTCACTGCGACAAGCCAGCAACAAATTGATCTTGTCTGACCAAGTGTTTAAAACCCTTCGATATTTTTGACAAGCTCCCCAAAATTCATATCCCAAATAAAGTCTTTCTTATAACTTTTTTCTTTGAGAATTTTCAAAGGGCCCTGGCAATACCCAAAGAAATTTATTTCCTCCAAAGAGGGAGATATTAAACTAATTAGGCTTGTTTGGTATGCTAAATTGCATGGGAAGCATTGTCAAGTAAATGATAAAACTTCTTAGGTTATACTTCATAGGTAAATATTACTCACTATTTTAACCCTGCTCTCTTGCTTCCAACATCACAAGAGGAAGGACCACGACTGCATTCTATTTAATTTGGTATACCGATGGGTCTTACTTAAATTATAAGCAAGACATTACCAGGCTGGATATGTTGTCCAGCCTCGAGAATGCCTGCTAATTCCTATTAACTCTGCTAACCCAGTAAAAGACTTCTTTCTACAGGCTTAAAAGAAATCACCACGGAAGAAGAGAAACAGATATAGCAGTCAAAAGGGGGAATTTTTGATATCCCCTCACAGATGTGGTTTGCACCCAGTAAGAAACCCATAGTACCTATTGTAGCACAATTGCCACTGCTCCAGTATATATACCAATTAACCCATTAGGCACCTGAAAATATATTTTTGTGGGAAAAGCAATGCTTTTAAAGGCCTTCTCCCACAGTGGGTCATAAAGCTATACTCGTTGTGTTATATGCCCAAAAAATAATCTAGGGAAACTACTACATAGATAACAAGGTCACTTTCCCTTTACTAAGGGACCCTTTGAGGTATGGCAATTGGACTTTGTCCAAATGCCACCATCTCAAGAATAAATATATCTTGTAATAACTGTGTGTTCTCGCACTGGGTTGAGGCCTTCTTTGCAGAAGAGCAATGGCTGTAATAGTAGATAAATTACTATTAGAGAGAATAATTCCTGTTTGGGGAATTCCTGCTGAGTTACATAGTGACAAGGGAACTCATATTACTGGACAAATAATTAAATCTATTTGTAATATTTTGCCAATGATGCAACATTTCCATGCTGCTTACCATCCCCAATCCTCAGGATTGGTGGAAAGAACTAATGGCACAATCAAAACTGAATTGGCAAAGCTTTCAGGAACATTTAATCTCATGGCCGAAAGCTCTTCCACCAGTGATCCTCAATCTTAGATCTACGCCCTTTGGTAAACATCGGCTGCCTCCTTTTTAGATAATAACTGGACAGTCTATGCAATTAGATAAAGAAATACATGAATCAACTTTGCTTAAAGTTAATGTCTTAATTGTTGTCAAGGTCTGATTGAGACACACACACACACACACACATATATATGAGAAGTTGGTAGCCGATTCTTTTTACAGAGAGCTCCCAGACCTTAAGGATTATAACCTGGAAAATTTATTTATCAGAGGAGGCATCAAAGAGTCTTTACAGCCCTATTGGAAAAGACCATACCAGGTACTTTTAACAAATTCATGCGCTGCAGAATCAAAAGACACAAAAGACAAAGACATGGATTCACATTTCCTGTTTTAAAAAGAGGCTTTTCCACATGAGTGGGTTTCAGTTCCTATTTCTGAAACCTGACTTCAACTGGCCAATATGAATATCTCCAAACAAGGGTGAGAAGAAGACAAGATCTGTTGTAGACAGCTGTCCCAAGACTCTGGACCAGGCCTGTATTCCCAACCTTAAATCCACTCATTTAAACCTTTGTTATACTTAAACTGTATACCAATTTTATAATTGTTACATTTAAGATTTTCAGAATACTATCATACTTAAGGAAAGTGATTGATTTGGAACAGACTGGTCTTAAAGTCCAGGCATTTATCGGGTGGCTCCTAATATAACTTATGGTTATATGGAACAAATCTTTGACTTTGATTACTGGCTGGATGGCTAAAACACTGTACCCCAAGCTTCCCTTAAATTCAGGGAAGGATTCACAGTGACTCCTGCTGCCAACCTTCCTCTCCTTAAGGCCAGTTGGGCTCATTCAGTGTTCCCCTGGTATGACCATCAAGCAGCTAGCTATATTTGTTCCTTTTTTAGGGCTAAAGGTTGTCATATCACATACAGAAGCGCTTAATGAGAGTCAAGCAGGAATTGCCTTATTAAATACTAAAATGTCTTTAATAAAAAAGACTGTCCTTCAAAATAGAATGGCCTTTAGATATTTTAACTACTTTCCAAGGTCGTACATGTGCAATCATTCAAACTGAATGCTGTGTTTTTATACCTGATGAATTTTCCAATATGTCATCTCTGTTAAAGCACATGAAAAAGCAGGTGAATGCCTTAAGCTATCCTGCACCTTGTCTTGAGTTGTTTGGTTGGCTCCCTTCTGGTATTGGTTCCCTTTTTCAATCTGGATTTCAATTCCTATTTCTATTACATCTTGGAATTCTTGTACTAGTCATAATATTTAAGCCAATTGTTATTTTCCTTACTCAGCGTTATAAGACTGTCATGTAAGCTGGAGTAATGAAAGTTGAGATGGTCGATTGATCTTATAACCTTGGACAAACCTGATTTTTGATAAGGACTAGGCCTAAGAACTCATTTTAAACTAATCTTTTCAAAGAAGTTAAATTATTATCATTGTTACTGTACTTGTTCTATAATTGTGAATAGTGTAAACACAAAGAGTCATAAAAAGCACATATGCAATGTTTGTGCAACAACCTAAAATTAATCCAAAACTCATGAAATGCTTCCTCTATTAATAAATATATACTTCTTTGCTTGTCCACTATATCCAATTAATTCCCTGTAACGTGGACAACTGGGCAAATAAATGAGATAAAAGCCTGACACCAATGGACACGATAGGCCCAGGGCAGGCAGCAACCAGCCTGGGGCCAAGGGACAATATTGTGATCATCAATGCTTTCTATTGAAAGATTATAGATCAAAAGTGGGAAAATGATAGATAAATGGCAAGCAATAGGCTATATTGGAGCATATGAGGAAGCCATTTGGGGTAAAACTAGTTCAGCCGGAGTTTGTTTTTCCAAAAGGTCCTGTTGCCAGCATTGTGTATCTGCTTTCCCATGTCCCAAAGAGTAAATGCCCTTAAGATAAGGATACAACTTCCTCCCCATTGGCATTTCCTTAAGGATGAGCATTTCTCCGTAGGCTAGAATTTGATTGCTGCAATCATCCTGTGACCACCCAGTTCGAGATAGCAGACCTGACACCAGCCAAGCCCATCGAGACAGCAGACCTGCCCCGGCTGTGTCTATCAATAGCTATTCTGGCAGGACAATCTGACAGGAGATCTTGTCGCTATTGTAAAAGGGACATTACAATCCTATGTGATACATGCTCTTTGATGGTGTATAACTGCTCTGTACACCCCACTTCTTCGGTGCCCTTCCTTTCTTAGGGAAGGAAGGCCTTGGGCCATGGTCCTCAAAAGTTGGTTTATAATAAACTCATCCCAATTTTGATTTATAAATTGATTATGGATTATTTACATCGACAGAACTACAAGGTCAAGATAAATAAAAACTATCTTTAACAAAGGAAATCATAGTTTTATATCTGGGTCAAAACAGGAAAATGTTCTACAGCCCTACCCCACCTCCTTAAATTCTCAAGGTCTGTTTTGACTTTTGGTGAACTGGATCATTTCTTCCTATTAATGAAACAAATACAAGCTTTCTACCATAGGCAGATCAGAAGATTTAAAATCACAACCTAGGGGGCCGTCCTGGTGGCACAAGTGGTTAAGTGCACGTGTTCTGCTGCAGTGGCCCCGGGTTCACCAGTTCGGATCCCAGGCATGCACCGACACACTGCGTGTCAAGCCATGCTGTGGTGGTGTCTCATGTAAAGTAGAGGAAGATGGGCATGGATGTTATCCCAGGGCCAGTCTTTCTCAGCAAAAAGAGGAAGATTGGCAGCTGTTAGCTCAGGGCCATCTTCCTCACAAAAAATTAATAATAAAATCACAACCTAAAAGTGGTATAAACAGATCATGGGTTTGCAATCTCAAAGAAAAAAAAGAATGAAAAAGAGTTACTTTTAGCAGATATTTCCCCATATTTTAACTGAATTATAAATAATAATCCCCAAAACAACTCAGAGCTAGAATCCACAAATAGTTCATTTTAGAGAGCCCACTAGAAAATAATAATGCTCAAAGTTAGGCATTCTAACTGGGTTTCACGGATATTTTTCTAGCCACAACGAGGGTTTGGTTGTCACCTCACACTATTTTAGGTTAACCTTTTTCTGACAGTGCTATATGCAAGAAAACGTCATTGCCCATTAGCCTGTATATTAAAGCAGAATCTAAGTTATTATCTGAGAGTATTGTTGCCCTTCCCACTGATGTTCCTATGACTCCTCAGTGAGAGGAGTCGGGATGTCCCCACATGTGGGAATAAATTTTAGTTTGGGTTTCTCACTTCCTGAGAAGCTCTCAGCACGACCCCTGCTCAAGTGTCCATCAAGGCCAATGGATCTCTATTTGAGTGGTAAAGTATCATCGAGGAAGATGGAGAGTCCCCCTCCACCCTTTCCCTTAAGGCTCTTATGGCTGGCAAAATAATTAAAAGACAGGTTAGCAGGAGAAATTAATACCAAGTTTAATAACATGTATACATTGGAGAAACCAGGGAAATTGAGTTTCTCAAAAAAGTGACAGAGATTCTTACCTTAAATACCATCTTCAGC